AAAGTTTGATTGGTAATTTACACCCCTCAATCATAATAGCACAGTTATCGAACACATAATCCACAGATACTTGACAATTAGCAGTATCAACTACTAATTTGTCTTCAAGTGGCACAAAATTCATGCAAGCACATAGGGCAAAGGATGGTGATACAAACGAAAAGTTTGCACCCGAGTCAAATAACACTTTAGCATATAGAGAATTCACGAGGAATATACCTGTCATTACATCTGGCGTAGTTTTGGCTTCATGTTTGCTCATTTAAAAAGATCATCCCCGCGCCCCTCCTGTTCTTCCTCAACCCATACTTGGTCTTCTACGGGCACTCGAGGTATTGCTTCCCATGGTCAACTGTGGAGCTTTCAATTGCGGGCAGTTAGGTCTAAGATGATCTGGTGAGTTGCAATTGAAACATCTTTTAGTCATTGGACAATTTCTTGATAAGTGGCATGCCTCTGCACATTGATAGCATTTTCTCGGGTTTGATTTGCAATCACCCTGATGAATTTGATGACATCAAGGACAAGCTTTTTCACTAACTCTTTGAACAGGTCGGTTGCCATACTTCACTAACTCTTTTCTGCCAACATATCTCTGGTCACATATTCAGGCTGAGGCATATGTTCTTGATTAACATTTTCTGAGTTGGATTCTCCATGGTCTGCATGGGTTTCTATTTGGCTATTTCTACCTCTAGTTTCCCCTCTGCCTCTTCCTCTGCTTCTACCTCTGCCTTTGCCCCTGCCCTGTGATGTACCAATGGGAGCAAGAATAGGGGAATCCTCTTCATCATTAGGATTGGGGCGGTTGATCCTTTCTGACCTTCAGGATCTACTAATCATCTGCAAAGTTCAATGTTAATAGACACATTTTCACATTCCCAAATATAATAAAGTGTCCAAGTTCAGTTATGTACCTGTAGATTCAAAATTACATTGGCCAGATGTAATCYGAATATACCTTACACACTGATCCCTTAACTTATCATATTTATTTTCCAAAGGTGTTAACTATGTCTAGGACCCCTAATATGCAATGAAAGAGTTTAAGTCCAGGCATCATGCTTTGAATACCTAAATCTCTTAAACTCAGGCTCTGATACCACTTCTGTAACACCCCATAACTCACATTGCATATAACATATAATTCATTCAGAATAATACATGTTTAATCCCACTAAGGTCCAAAGTACAAAAAACTATATTACAAAATACACAACCCAAAAATTCCAAAATACATGTTCTTGTATTACATAACATTTAACTTCAAAACACATCCACAGATTGATCTTCACATAGCTATGCATATAGGGAAACAAATCATATTTTCCCTTTTCCTTACTATCATTATACTCTGCTGTTCCTGCAATACATATTTGAAACACAAAATGAGGGTTAGATTTGAAGGTCTAGTGAGATCCCTTTTTCCATTTACTTGCAAGGTGAAATCACCAAAAACATTATTTAAATCAATCATTTCACAAAATGGAACATAATCCATATTTCATTTAGTCCATCGATCCTCTCCAAAGACCAGACTTAGAAAATATTTTCTTAAGATAGCAGGACCAGAGTCCCTCTGGTTCCTCTACCAGAGCTTCTTGTTATATCCAATCAGAGCTCCTCCAAGTTAATTTTCATAAATGTACTAAGTCGAATACAAAGGATAGACGAAATAGTTTTCCCAAGTATGACCAGAGCTTCTGTTTCTACCAACTAGAGCCTCTGGCTCAAAACTCATGACCAACCAGAGCTTCTCTGGTTCAATGTGAAGGCCAGCTAGAGCCCCTCTGGTTTGTCTTTGTTTGCATAAAAGTTTTTCTAAGTTAAAATAAAGTATAAAATCTCATGAACACCCTTTTTAAAACATAAACTTGACACAGAGCTCCTAACTAATAGATAAAGTGCCTCTGGTTTAAGTAAGAGATTTGTAAGACATATCATAGTTAAACCATCATCCAGAACCCTCTGGTTCTATTGTGAGGACCAACCAGAGCCTTTCTGGTTCCTTTTAAGGAACAACCAGTGCCTCTCTGGTTCTTTATAAAACAATCACTTTGTCAAAAACATAGTTTATCCAAAACCAGTAGGCATAAGCCAAGTTTTCCTTTTCTCAATAACATCATTACTATCATTTCTAATAAGAGCAACATTCCTAAGTCTTCAAATCACATAGAAGTAAGAACTCAAAACTATTGCAATCTTAAGAGACATAATAACAAGAGCTATAATAATCACACATACAAATGCCACCCTTATATCCAAAGGTACATCTCTCCTTGATATGCCACCCTTATAACCGAAGGTACACCTCTCCTTGATATGCTACCCTTATCCTATGGTACACCGCTCCTTGATATGCCACCCTTATTTCTTCATCAAAGTCTATAGATTAGTTCCAAGCGAAGACCGTCCGAAGTCACAACCATCTTGATGGAACAACCTCTATAGTTTTTAACCAATAATGGTTTCAAAATTGTTTTATCTCAAAACTTTGAAACTCAAAAACTAACAGTTCTTTCAATATCATTTTCAAACTCAAAATTTCCTTAAATCCTTATAATAGGATAACATTCACAATTGTTTTAAAGAAGCAAACTCTTATTTATTTCCCAAAAACAGTTTCGACAACCCAGATTCATAAAACTCGACTTAAACTGTTAAAAATTGTTTTTTACCATTCTTCTTCAAATCAATTATCGAAACCACATATTTCAAATAACATTATTTAAAGGTTTTAGTATAAAAAACTCACCTTTATAAGCACAGATTTGAAGGTTACGACAACTTCAAATATTCACAAAATCACCAAATCACTTTTATGCAAGATTCCTTTTTCAGGAAAAACTTCACCGCCTCACACACACATACACACTTTTCTTTCTTTCCAAAGATTTCTCAAAAAGTGATCAGCTTTAATCTTATCTCTTCCATATATATTTTAATCAAGGCAGTGTGCGTTTATTAATATAAAACTCCTTTGGGCGGTGGAGGTTTATTATATTTTAGACCTTCTTTTCTTAACCATGAAGGTTGCATAACCATATATTTTAATAATATTTCCTGTTATGCATCTTATCATATGCACACACATATTTATCACTTTCTCAGGTATGAACAAAATTCCATTCACACACACATATATACGATTCATGCATTTGTTTAAATAACATGCATGTTATTACGTATTTCACATAATAACCACATAAAAGTTGCCTCAACCAACGCTGTCTGAAATCTAGGTTATCACAAATATATTAGGCGATTTTAAAAATGCGACAACACTTTTATCCGGTATTTATTATCCAACAAACCTTTTACTTTTAAATCAATTATATATTTTGACAAGTAAGATTACACAATACGAAGACCATCACGATTGTGGTATGTTGAAGAGTTCAATGAAAAAGAATATGTTAAAATATTTTATGAGCATCTCATTCGCTTTTCTTTGTGTTGCAGCGTTAAACCCGTATTTAAATGTTATCGGTGTTTAATTTTTAATTACATAAATATGTGTAGCCTTTGGTTTAGATATGGCTACAAATAATTCTTTTTCAATGGAACAAAAACGTTTGTTTAATCATAATTTTCAAGATTTATTTGATCATTATAAACATTTTTATGGGGGAGGAAACCAACAACAGAACTCTTCAAGTCATGGATTTGCGGATTCTAGTTCTTCTAGTGGTTATCGCCAAAGTCGGAAAGAGTAAATGACTAATTTAATGAACGATATTTAAAATCATTTCCCTGTTCTAGTGCAAGACGCAAGGAGAAGCATGAGCGGAGCGGTCTGGCTAAAAAAAGTACTCAATCACTATCCTTTAAGTATTAGGGTTTTGGTTTTTGTACTTTTTTAATCAAGTAAAAAAGTAGATTTGATAATGATTTGGGTGAACTAAATATGTATGTGCATACTAACTTCATGGCCGCATGCTCGACAAATGATGTCGAAGATTTTGAAAAAAATTATCTATTAGATTTTTGGAAACAAAAGCAACCTCAATTCCCGGTTTTGGCATGCATGACACGTGATATACTAACAATCCAAGCTGGTACCATAACTTCGGAGTCTGCTTTTTTTCTTAGTGACAAGATCATTTCGATACGTTGGACAAGACTAAGCCCGAAGTTCATGAGTGTTGCATCTGTTTGAATGATTACTAGGATAGTGTGGATAAAATTCAACACACGACATCGTTAGAGGTGGAGATTGAAGCGGTTGAACAAAATTTGGAAGAAAATAAAATCGCCATGGGACTAAGCATGCTGTCAACTATCAATATCGACGACACTTACTCACAATATGACGATTATAAGGAACTCGACATTGATGACCTTGATGACCAAGAGGCTATTAGAAGAATTCAAGAGACCAGAACTCTTCAAATCAATCCGACATGGTTAACCGATGATGAATAAGTGCATTTTCAAATAATTTTATGATGTATTTTTGAAAGACAATGTAATTTTGATAATAATAAAACACATTTTTAAAGTGTATTTGAGTGACCCAATTACAAATTTTATAATGTATTAAATAAATTAAATTTATTTAATGGTCGGGACTGAGACCGGCTCATCATAACTGGTTATACATAACCTTAACGGGCTCACTATTTTCGACCGGGACCAAAACCGGTTATGACCGGCATTGTAGAGGCCCGAAACCTGTAAGAATCAGAACCGATTTTTGGCCAATCACTACTCCTAAAGGGGTGCTTCCGCCCATGACTATCCCTTTGCTTAGCAAAAGTTTTACTACGTTACATGATGAAATAAGTGAGCATGAAAACTCCTACCGATATGTGGTTACTTGGTTAACATTTGGTAAATGTTTCTTTATTCTTGAAAATGGAACAAAATGGGTTGAATATAGGCTAAATTTTTCGAGGAGGCATATAACAAATCATTCTATGGTTCAGGGACCAATATGGTAACATTGTCTTTTGATCTCTCAGCTGGCTTATAATCGGCAAAACCTGCTACTTTCTTCTGGGTTAGAGAGAGAGAGGGGGGATAAAAACAGCACAGAGCTCCATTAATGGCTACTTTCATCATGTAAATCAAAACCTTTGACAACCATAGGTACGTATATCTATTTGCTTTCCGTTTACTTTTTTCTTCCATGTCCTTACTCCCATAGTCATTTCATTGAATCCAGAGTCCTTCGAGATTCTACCATTTCAAATCCTGTTAAAATTTGAATGATTTTTTGGTTTTTACTTCAGTTTAAGCGTTAAACGCAACACAGTAAACGGTTTTAGCGGATTTTAGAACTGAAATGGGGATTTTAGCGGTTTATTGATTCATATTTTGAAGATTTTTTATTTGTTCTGAATCTTAGAACTGAAATGGTTTCCATCATTGCATCAGAGTATGGATCCGAATCAGAAGAGAGCCAAAGCGGTTGACCGAGTTGACTCGGTGGATACAGGCGCAGCATCGTCCGAGTCGACTCGGATGTGCCCATTCCCGGACGAGGTCCTAGAACGGGTATTGTCGCTGATAGGCTCCCACAAGGACCGCAGCTCGGTATCACTCGTTTGTAAAGACTGGTACAACGCCGAGCGGTGGAGTAGGCGCCACGTGTTCATCGGAAACTGCTATTCGGTGTCGCCGGAGATTGTGGCCGCTAGGTTTCCGAGGATACGGAGCGTGACTCTTAAGGGAAAACCTAGGTTTTCGGATTTTAATTTGGTACCGGAGGATTGGGGAGCTGATGTTCATCCATGGCTGAGTGTTTTCTCGACGGCATATCCGTTCCTAGAGGAGCTCCGGCTGAAGAGAATGGCTGTTAGCGACGAGAGTTTGGAGTTCTTGGCGACAAATTTTCAAGGTTTTAAAGCTCTGTCGTTATTGAGCTGTGATGGGTTCAGTACTGATGGATTAAAAGCCATTGCTACTAATTGCAAGTAAGATTTCTTCTTTTAAACTGAGCAATGCCTGCTTCCCGGAATGAGTCCGGCCGGGCGTGCATCCATCTTGTAGAATTGCCCAAATTTTTAGTTTCAAATTTCGTCGAAATGGGGTTTTGATCTTCGATTCCTTATGATCTCAGACTAGTTGAATCTTGGTTTGACTTTGAAGAAACCAGATCAATTTCAAGATGTTATCCATAAAGTTGGAATTCATTTCTAATCTTATTCTTGATTCTGTTAATAATTGTTTGAGAAATTAGGAATCTGGATTGTGTTTATTACCCAATAAAGCCTTCTTTGATGTCATTTTTGGAGATAAATGATTGCTGAAAATTATTATTTCTGTCATCACCCAAAACGAAAAAAGTAGAATATATCTAATGGGCAGGAATCAAACGTTGAAGAAAGCAAGATATTTGCATGTAGTGTTTGAGTTTGGTGTCTAATTTGGCTGAGGAATTAATTGGGGCGCCCTTAGAAGATTGGGTATGATTTGTGAAGAACAAAAGATGATATCTTTGTGCTTAATTTAACTCACAAAATTAATGGGGGGTCGACACTTTTGGGGATAAGGTACAATTTTTATTGCGTATGGAGCAAATTTCCATATAATGATTATATATATAATTTTTACGGTTAATTTTACTAGTTTTGTTTAGATTTGATTTGGGAGTATTGCAATGGAGTCTGAGTGGAAACCGAGGTGGTACTACTTTATTGTTTCTTTTTCTTTGCCTTTTCTTCGGTTGCTTTCTTGATTGTGACGTTTCACCTATTTAATGGACGCCATGTTCTTCATGTCATTATCTACAGAAAAATCTATAAATTGGGTAGTCAAGTTTGCAATTTCATTTTAGGTATATACTAAATTAATGAATGATTTTGTTTCTTCTTCACCTACCTTCACATGTGAATATGGTCTTTCTTGTTTAGTTCTGCTTATTATACAAGTGGTTGTAAGCATTTGAAGTACCCAATTCTCTTTTTCACTGATTGCAAAAGAATGAATACTTTTTGGGGGAACTGAATCTTGATTTATATATCAAAGTTAAAACTCACTGCCTTCTCCTTCTTTTCAAGACTGTAGATGATTTATATTTGTGTGGTGATTCATATGTGAATTTCTAAATACGAACATTCATTCATGTAGGAACTTGACAGAACTGGATGTTCAGGAGAATGGGATCGATGATCTGGGTGGCCATTGGTTAAGTTGCTTTCCGGAAAGCTTATCCTCATTAGAAATTCTTAATTTTGCGAGCTTAAACAGTGAAGTTAGTTTCGATGCCCTTGAGAAGCTTGTTTCTAGATGCAAATCTTTAAGGGTTTTGAAAGTTAATCGGAACGTAAGTTTGGATCAATTACAAAAGCTTCTTTTGCAGGCTCCACAGTTGATGGAGCTTGGTACTGGAACCTTTATGCAAGAACTCGTCTCTGGTCCAGTCACCGAGCTCAAAAATACGTTCAGTAACTGTAAACATCTAGTCACTCTTTCGGGCTTATGGGACGCTACCCCACTTTATCTCCCGGTTATTTATCCTGCATGTGCTCGTTTGACGTTTTTGAATCTGAGTTATGCAACCTTACGCAGCATTGAACTTGCCAATCTTCTTACTCATTCTAAAAGCCTTCGTCGCCTTTGGGTAAGTTGTTTTAGATAGGACACACACTTGTTTATTCTTAACTCTTATAAAGCAGTCTATTAAGACATTTAGGCATCTTTGGCATCCTGTAAAGCCGTTTTTGGTATAGTGAAGTTATACGACAGTTAATAGTTTGTTCTTTCTGTTTTGTTCAACAAATGTGCCCTCATATGATAAACTAATTGAACTTTTTTTGGTGCAGCTTCTTGATACTGTAGGTGATAAGGGTCTAGAAGCAGTTGGATCCTGTTGCCCCTTACTCGAAGAGCTACGAGTCTTTCCAGCTGACCCATTTGACCAAGAAATCTTCCTTGGCGTGACCGAATCCGGGTTCGTGTCCGTTTCTCGTGGCTGCCCGAAGCTCCGTTATGTCCTCTACTTCTGCCGCCAAATGACAAATGCTGCTGTCGCCACCATTGCCCAGAACTGCCCGGATTTCACCCACTTCCGCCTCTGCATAATGAATCCCGGTCAACCAGATTACCTGACCAAGGAGCCAATGGACGAAGCCTTTGGTGCGATTGTCAAGACCTGTACCAAGCTTCAACGGCTTGCGGTTTCCGGCCTCTTAACTGACAGAACATTCGAGTATATCGGGAAATACGCTAAAAACCTAGAAACACTTTCTGTTGCTTTTGCAGGAAGTAGTGATTTGGGGATGGAGTACGTATTAGGAGGCTGCCCGAAACTGAGAAAGCTCGAGATACGAGACTGCCCGTTTGGTAACGCGGCATTGCTTTCGGGTTTGACCAAGTACGAGTCAATGCGATCCTTGTGGATGTCAGCTTGCAATGTGACAATGAATGGGTGCAGGGAGTTGGCTAAAGAGAAACCTCGGTTAAATGTTGAGGTGATGAAAGATGAAGGTAGCGATGATAGTCAGGCTCACAAAGTTTACGTCTATCGAACCGTGGCTGGACCACGAAGGGATGCACCACCTTTTGTTCTCACCCTCTGAGTCCAACCCTCAAGATGCTATTATAAAGTTGATAGCTTTTTTCTGATAAAATGGAAATCTGAATGTGGGGAATTTGTCAAGCAAGCGACGAATAAGATGTATATACGTCAGAATGTGATGAGGGGTAAAACTGGTATTCTTTCTTACTTCCATTAGGTAATTTTTTTTAAATTTATAAATGTGGGGATAAAATTAGTACTTTCATATGTGGTAGTAGATGATTGATAACGGATGATCATGAGCTTCTTCCTGCTTTATATTCTTACAATCCAGAATCTTTATGTGTAACCAAGGGTTACTTTACCAAATAATTACCCGGTGAGTGCTTACCGGGCACTTACCTTACTGGATAAACATAACAAGAACTAAGAATTTTATATGGTGAGAGCGATGACAAGGACCGAGAGTCTTGCTCGGTAATGACTCTTATCCGGTTAGCGCTTACCAAATAAAGTGTTGTCTATAATGTTGTTTTAATGGATTATAATCTTAAACGGTAAATAATGTGAGTGTTAATTTTTACCAATAAACACTTGCTGGCTAAACTTTTTAATAAACGACCCTTGAATCTCTCTTAAATGCATACTCTTTTGATAGATTTAAAAATTACTGCTTAAACCACAAGGGTGATGCCTGATTGGTTTGAGCTTGGCTTTAAAAGTCAAAAGTACCAGGAGGTCCTAAGTTCAAATCCAAGGAGGAATAAAAATCTGCTTGTGGCCACGGAGTTTCAAATGCGGTGACTCCGGTCTATCTGCAAAGCATATGGTCGTCCTAGGATTAGTCGGCTTGCATAACGAGTTAAATATCCAAGTTAATAAAAAAAAATTACTGCTTAAAGTCCTAATGCATTTTAATTTTTTAATACATAACGTCTCAAAATGTATTAGAGGAGATGCACTTCAAAAAGGATGTGCCAAAAAGTTATTCTCTTAAATAATGCTCGTATGGGTCAAAGGCAAACCTATGAATGTACTGGAAGGGACTGTTTGATAGTTGTTGAATGATTTGGTATAAAATGATTAAGCGATTTTCATGATATAATGCAAAATGAAATACTATTATTTGATAATTGTTTACGATGAAATTAGGGCGCTTAATGGTTAAGGGAGATGCAAGATACAAAATCACTCAAAAGTTTTTAGAAACATAAAGAGACAGATTTTTTTTTGTCAAACAAGATTCATCTCTTAACGATTCAGAGACTGCTTCTTAATTGAACTATTAAGAGGTAAACAAACAACCTCTGAGTCAACGTTGATCATACGTAGACCATTTCTTATTTAGTGCATCTTCAATATATAAACTTTTTATTTTTGTCACGTCAGTTTTCTACTTACATCTTTTAATAAAGACCTATTTTTATAAATTATCTCCAATGCAAAAACCTTTTTTTTTTTTTTTTATCAATTACATCAATAATCTATCCTCATGTATTTAAAATGTTTTACAAAAATCCCTAATTTAATTTGTCTTTTTAAAACCCATGTTATATTTTTCGAAAACAAAAATTACTTAACATTAAAATACAAATATTTAAAAATATTACAATAAACGATATTTAAAAAAGTAGCTCCAATCGTAAATTCCACATTTTGCTTTAGGGGCCGTTTACCAAACTCTTATCTGGGTAAGAGTTTACCGAGTCACGTTACCTTACCGGATGAATGCGGTAAGGACCAAAAATCTATACCCGATAAGAGCGAGACAAGGAAAAGAGTCTTACCCAGTAAGTGAGGCCGATGACTCTTACCATGGTAAGCGCTTACCAGGTAAATTATTGCATTCAATGTCGTTTTCGTGAACTAAAATCTTACTAGGTAAGTAAATGATAGTGTTGAATTTTACTGGTTAAATGTTTGGTAAACGGACCCTTAGTTTCATCACACAAACAAAAATAAAAGATAACTATGTTGATACGAAAGTATAGTGACGAGGACACAAAAAATCAATTTGTTAAAAAGATGAAAGACGGTAAAGAGATGATTTTTATGTATTTTCTTATAAAATATTTACTTCTATTTAGACACCATAAACAGGCTAGAGCTACACCCCTCAAACAGATGATATGACACAGGCATGTAGACAGACACCATAAGGATCCAGAAGATGAAAATGAAAATGATATCTCCTTGGTTTGCTGTCTTGAACTGGGATGTTAGCAAACAGGAGGCAAATATAAGGATTCAAACCAAGAAGTGGTGGTGTTCAGCTTTACCTGCTTTTGGCACTGTTAATGGTCTTTACCTATTCATTCTGAGAATCGAGCTGAGTGATTTCCAAGGGAGGTTCAATTTGTTGAGTTGTTAGCCAATTATACCACCAAGTGATCATAATCTAAAATCACGATCGAGAAAGAGTAAAATCCAACATTTATACGTGGTGGGTAGCAAAGAAAAATCCAACAAAATAATACAAATACTGGGCAGTGGATAAATCCAATAAAAAACAAGAAAAGCTATGGATGAAAGGAGAACATATAAATATTGAATTTTTTTAGGGAAAATTATGAAAATAATCAATTTATACAACCCTCTTCCATAAAATAACCAATTTTGAAGGCAATTACGATTTTAATCACCCAGATCGCCCCCCGGGGGTGATCCGTACTGTTTTTTTTTTTTTGGGGGGGGGGGGGGGGGGGCGATCCCCCTTTTTCTAAGAAATTTTTTTTTAATTTTTTTTGGTACTAGGGGCGAGCCACGTCACGGGGGGCGATCCAGCCTTTAAGTATTTTATTTTTATTTTTTTTACTAATATCAATTTCACTATAAAATACCAACCTCCTATTTCCTAAATTTTCACACCTTCCCTTTCATTTCTCTTATCATATATTCTACTCTCACAACCCTTAACCCATTAAACACAATAAAACCATTACAACCTTTAACCCACTAAACACAATCAATCATCACAAAACATGAAATCACGTCAAAGTGATGATGTTTGTGTATATCTTTGAAGTGACGGTTTATTCCAAGATATAAATGGTGTTGTAGAGTACCTTCCGATAACCTCCCCCACATGTGCAATACGTTTGTTTTCGCCAATAACGTATTCTGGGGTCGTCAAACGTGTGACGAAAAAGTTAAGTTTACGTGGTCCCTTCAATTTATTTTTTAAAACGAATATGTTATATCAGTTCATGGACGACGATGATGTGGTAATCCTCCACAACGCTATTCGTCAAACTTTACCAGAAATGTTGACACTATATGTGGTCGGCAATGGAGGTAATGGAGGAAATCCATCAAGTGCAACCCGGGCGGTCCAAACACTTTTTACCCCGGTACTGCAAGCACACTCTTCCCTACCGGTTGTGCTCCTGGTGTAAATCAGAGCACTTTCTTCGCTAGCGGTGGCAGTGGTGAAAATCCAAGCACCTTCTTCCCTTATGATGCCGCTGGAAATTGATATATTGAACAAAAAGATACCATGAACCTGACAGTTATTTTGTTCAAGACTTGAACATGCCTCCGATGCAGTCACCCAACCCATACCCGATCCGGTGTCCCGAACAGTCAAAACCGTTGTGGGAGGTAGATATGGCCGAAGATGTTTCTGTTGCTGCCGAAATTTTGAACATACCCGAAGACGATGATAACTCCGATTCTGAAGATATCAACCCGGTAAGAAAAAGTTTTTGAGGTATGCCCGACCCACCACCTTGTCCGGACCCAGTTATCAAAAGTGGACAGAGAAACATTTCCTACCAGCCTACATCCCATGTCAAAGTTCTCCAAACCTTTGACTCGAAGGAAGCACTTAAGCTCGCAGTGGGATTAAAGTGCGTTCATGAAAACTTTGAGATGAAAGTAAAGTGTTGGTCCCGTAAGGGTCTACAAGAATAGAAACAGTTTGTAGAAGAGGGGGGGATGAATACAAACACA